ACTAAACAGCCTACAGTATTTTTACAGTCTTTATTTTACAGTTAAAATAAATGTTTATCAAATAAAGTCTAATGTTACAACTAATCATAGATCCCTTTAAAATCTGTCCACTTGTTCATGAGATATTTTGCTGACAGTGCAGACAAACAATCCCTCTTGAAACCAACACTTTAGGATTTTYTATTGTGGATTAAGGAGGACAGATTACACCGATTTGGTAAATTGTCAGAAAATGCGTGTAAAACATTTGGTGAGCCAAAGATTTCTTCCCAACAGAAAACTGGTCTCTCTGACAGTAAAACAGGTCATCACACGTCTGCAGATCCACTGAGTCATTCACAGGAAAAACAAATCAGCCGCGCAGACGGCGGTCTTGATACATCTGAATGTCGCAGTTTATCAGTTTCTGTGTGAAAGAGARGTTCTTGTTGTTTCTGTCTTGTTTTAAAATAACACAAAAAGAAGGCTTCAACTGTTTCAAGTCAAAAGTTAGGACCATTCTAATGATGTCCGCTTTGGAAGGAGTGAAGTAACAGAAAAGTTAGTCGCTTTCTGTTTTGTTCCCATCGTTTCAGTAAAAAAAAAAAAAAAAGGACAACAAAAAAATTAAATCAGTGTAAAACCTTTTTTGTTTGCAGCTTTTTTCATGTGAGTTTTGCTGTCAAAATATCCCGGTATTTCTGAACCCCATTCACATTTGAAAAGTTACCCATTTTGCTTTGCCACACAAACTTCCTGTTTGTGGTTCTAATACATTTGCAGATTTTATCCAAAATGATCTATTTGAACTTTTTCAGTTTAGAGGAAAATTCACAAATAACATGGGTTTGATGCAGAAGGTTTTTTTTCTTTACAAGCTTATTTTTATGAAGAGCCAATATTGGCATTTGTGAAATTACAAAATCTTTCTAAAATAAGTGGGCGGGCCAGGTCCTGAAGAAACTGTTAAAACAAAGTCGTATTTCCTGATTCGGGGCCACTTGCAATGGAGTAAACTGAACACGCTTTGAAGGTTTCTTGACATKCCCTGCTATTTCCTAATTACACCATGAATTAAAGAAACAGCCTTCAGATGTTTGTGTAAAATTCTTCTGCATGTGAGTTTAGGTTGCTGCTTAAAACACATAACTGGTGATGGAGGTTAGTTGTTTTAAACCTTTGAGCTCTGTATTGTTTCATTTTTGAAAAACAGATCAAATCAGGAGGAGACACGACTGAGGACTAACCTCTACAGTGACAAATTCAATTAAAACCATCTTATTATAAYTGTCCCACTTTCTTTAGTTCTGTTTGTGTGTGTCATCAGTCAGATCCTCAGCTGAGGGGGGGGGGGGAACTGAGTGGCACGTGTCCACAGGCCGACACTCGAGGACAGAGGAGGCGTCTCGTGGTGGAGGCACGCTCACCTGCGGGGACCGAGACAGGAGACAGAGGAGCACGCTTTATGTAGGACAGCTTTCCAACTGGGCTTTATTCAACACTAAATATAGACGAGGGCAGAAGTAGGCTGGGATGACGGTTCTGCCAAAAGGCCTTAAAAAGAAGCCATCATCACTGAGGCCTTTCCTGCAGCGAGTTGAGACGTCAATTGACACACTTCTTGTTTGTGGCAACCTTAACCAGTTAGTGAAATGTTTCAAATTCTTACTTAAGATCTTGTTACGAGCAATCCGTCAAATGTTAGGTAGCTTTTCAGGTCTGTACAGTAAATATACAGTAAATATGTTTATGTTACGATGCTGGTTAATATGTGTTTGATCATTACTGAGAATATGAATACAGAAAAGCCATTGTTGCGTATTATTATATTTAATAAAGCTGTCCTTAAAACAAGAAGGGACTCATTTTTTCAGCTGTTTCCTGTTCAAACCCAAGATTCCCTTCAGCTCCTTTCCTGCAAGGTTCACGGGCAAACCCTCTGCTCTGACTCACTACACCCACTCCCTGCTGAGCTGACGAAGAGTTTCTAGAAATCCTGGCTTTTACCCAGCTTGCTTATTTTAGCTGAGCTCCCTTTTCCCCGATCTCTCCTGATTTATGTCAACATCTAGTTGGACACGCGGTGCTGACGCCACGAGAAACCTCCACGGCCAGAGTGTGTAAAGTGGGGGCAGAGCCACGTGAACGAGTGACAAGCTTTGATTTGATTCAGAATAACACACACACACCACATCCACACAATCACCATGAGAGGAGCATTCTTATAGGACACTTCCTGCAGAACGGGTCAGCTCAGGTTTTACTCCAGCTCCAATAAAATTTGCATTTTTTTTATTCTGATCATCTCAGTTCTCTTCACCTGTGCATTTTTTTTCCTTTTTTACACAATGGCATGCTTGGCTTAATGTTTATTGACCATTGAGCGGCCCTTCCAGTAAAACACTTGGACTTTAACACTTGAAACACCCTGTGTACAATTTGTTCCTTTTTCCTTCTCTCCTTTCCAACAGGCTCTGTTAGGTCGAGCCGTCAGCCCACGTTCAAAACAAAGGTTAGTGTCTTTGTGGCTGAAAGACCGGGGAGAAACACGACAGCAGAATGGARGAGTGTTTTTAACCCGACTGCTTCTGTCCTGCCTCAGCAGTTATCCACACAGAGACTCTGGTGTTCGTGACTCATTAAGAAATTCCCACTCCGTGCCTTTGTTAGAGTTCCTGGCAGTGAGTCATCGCCGAACATTCAGAGGTGTGACGTGCTGGGGCCGACTGCTGCTGCTGTACATGTGGAGGAAGCAGGTGGTGGAGCTTAAATGCCAAAAAATGAAGTGAGAAGAAAAATAAGAAAACAGAATTCAGCTGTGCATTTACTGATAATCAAATTGCAAACTGATGAGTTTTTTTCCCCCCTCTTAAAACGAAGATYTATCAGGTGGGTATTTAGTTTGGTGTTAGTTACATCATTAAGGAGGTGGGGATCGTGTAGCCTCTCAGGCCTGGTAACGCCTTGAGGTCCTCCAGATTTTTTAGGTGGAGCAGGATGGATGTCTGGGTTTCACTCCCGGAGCTTCGAGTGTCGACCTGCTGCTGAAAGGGCTACGAGTCGCACCTGTAGTTGCACAAGTAGAGCTAAATTAGCATTTGCTTCTATAGAATCAGAACTACATTTCCTCCGTTTAAAATGAAAAATTAATCGCTTAGGATTCTAATGTGGGCAAGTGAATTTTGAGCACATCTACTATTGAGCTGCCTGATAACGGTAGGTGAAACAGTTTTGTAAATATATATATATATTTTACCTTGTTTATTTTGTTGAATCATAAATTAAAAATTTAGAAGTAATTAAAAAAACATTTACATGCATTAAAGGATTTTTTTGGAGGGTGGGGGGCAGGGCCTCATTGGTAGGCTGGATGGGAGTCATGTGGCCTGCAGACCACCAGTTGAGTAGCCTGGTTTTAGTTTCATTAAAAGGGATCTACTCCACAAAACAAACAAAAAAACAACAAAAAAACTTTTTAAACTTCTATAGTTTCATATTTTACTATTATTTTTTTGGATATTGTCCAGAGCACCACAGAAATTTTGTTAAGTTCAGTTAACATAATGACAAATGAAGAATCTTATATTGTTTTAAACTATTGGTTGCGGATTTAAAAAAAAAGTTTTCCCTAACTTTAGTATAAAGTCAGGTCACCTGACACAGCAAAAATACACAAAACAGGTAGGAATCTACAAAATCAACACCAGCAAAACAGCCTCAGCATTTACTAAATGTCCACATTAGAAAAATGGAAACTACTAATAAAGACATTCAGTCGAGGAGACATGTGCAACATGGTTTTATTGTCAAACTGGTAATTAAGACATGAACTTGATTAATGCCATATCAAATCCTAATCTCCGCAGAAGTAAAGTGCAGGTTCAAATCAAGTTGCCCTGGGTGTCCTGTACAATTCCTGTCTGGTTTTGAACTGCAAAATGAAACCCTACAAAATGATGAAAAAGCCCTTTTTTTTGTTCAACCCACACATCTAAAAAGCTAATTGTGCAAACAGGATCAACACAAAGCTTTACTGTTCTGGAGCCGTCTCTCCTCCAGCCCTCGCGGAGTTGGACGTACGCGATTGGGCCGAGCTATCCCAGCTGTCGTCGGCGTCGTGAGGAGGTCTGCTGCGGCGATTAGGCGCTGCTGCGCGTGCACAGCGGGCGAATGTTGGCAAGCTAACRGAGACCATTTCGTTTTCGAGCAGGATTATGAACGACCACTGAGAAAAAGGTCACGTTAAAGAGGTCACTTTTGTGCACAGGCTCTTCAGAAGCTGTGGACAGTTTGGCCGCTGTGCTTTTTCGGAGTGGCGGTCACGTGCAATATGGAATCATCACGAGCGCCACGACACGAAACTCCCGTCCTCCGTTTGTGTAAGCTCATAAAAAAAAACTACAGCGCACGTTGTCACTCATGCAGGCACACCACTCACTCGAAGCTCATTCGCTCTTCTTCCAGCGTCAGTGTAATGGTTCTGCACCCACCTCCCCCAACTAAGCAGGTGGACACCAAAGGAAGTGGCAGCAATGAGGTAAACACGACAAAAAAAATAAAAAAACTCATGAGATATTGCACAGACAAGTGTCGGCACAGAATGCAACAGTCTCTTTCCAACAGCCCAGCCTGTGCATAGGAAGAATAAAGCACTTATGGTGTTCACACACATTAACCCCTTACTTGTAAAGCTTTGTTACACAATAAAGTGGGAAACGAGTCAAGAATCTACTCCACTTGGCAGACATTTTGACTTGTATGATAAAAATAAAAAAACAACAACAAAAGAAAAAAAATGTGTTGTAAAAATACAAATTCATAAACCCATTGGTGACTAAGGAAGAGTTCAAACTGTTGGCAACTGTGAAGGAAACCCCACCCCCTCCCAAAAACAAACAAAAATTTATAACCTGAAGTCCCAGCGGTTGTAGAAATACCTGGAGGCTGCTCAGACAGGAGATAAGCAGGCGATGTTGAGACTGGGTTAGAGCCAGCATGGAGAAAAATCTCTCAAGTTTCATTCAATAAATAGCATAGTGGAATATGACAAAAAAATAGATTTCATATTTTTTCCCTCAAGCAAAAAAAACAAAAACAAAAAACGTGTGAATCCCTTCTTCAGTTCATCCAGAGATTCAACAGTTTGCCATGTTGCAACATGAGTCCGATACATCCCCACAGATCAGTCTGTGATCAGTCAGAGCAGCGGCTCCGTCACAGAGTTCATCGTTTGTCAGTTCATCCTGGTTAAACAAGGATATTTTGGCGCACGCAGTTCTGAGTCACAATTTGCAAAAACTAATCCACATTAACAGTCTCCGTGCTTCTGAAGCTCCTCGAGTCGAGCACGGAAGTGTAAAGCTCCTCAACGTGTTCTGTTAACTTGACGGGAGTCTCACTCCCGCGCCTCGTGTAGTCCGTCCCGTTTCCATTGTACAATCATTATCTGTGGAGCAAGACGAAGGCTTCTAGCTTCCTGGGAATGTTTCCCCGGTAGTCGAGGCTGTGCTTGATGATGGCCCTGGCAGCGAGGCACTGCAGCGTGGTGTGGTTAATGGGCTGGATGACGTTCCTGGCCAGCTCCTTCTCGTCCAGGAGGTCGCAGGCGGTCTGCTGGAAGGCGTTGGTGCTGTCGAAGTGAGTCCCCGAGGAGATCAGCAGGTTCATGATGTCGGGGTGACCGTTGGATGCAGCTATGTGGAGAGGACTGACAGGAACACGGGTCGTTACAAACATGTCCTAATATTCAAGTGATGCAATCAAGTAAAAAAAAAATACACATTTGATTTGAAGGAAAGAAAAAAATTAAACAAACCTGTTGTCATCTTCATCTCTGCTGTTAACGTCTGCCCCACACTCGAGGAGGACCGAGGCCACCGTGAGGGAGGGGAACTTGCAGACGGGATAGCGGCCCACGCAGGTGGTGTTGCGGTCAACTGCCAGGTGGAGTGGGCTGTAGCCGTTCTTCCCACACGGATGGAGTTTCAGGAATCTGAAAGTATTAAAAGATGTAGAATCGTGACACAGAGAAGGCACAGGCTGTTGCCAGAGTGAGAGCTRATATTTCTCCTATTTTAGCTTTTCTGTTTTGGCTTGTTGTCGAATTATGAACGGAATTTAAAATCTTACTTCCAACATTAAAACAAATATAAAACAAAAAAAGCCTCATTTTATGTTAAATAATCAGGGTCAACATCCAATTCAAGGGCCTTTCAAGCACCAATTTCCTCAAATTCAAAACCCACACGTGACGGCAATTGCCTCTGCCACAGAATGTTACCAATAAACAGYTTTAATATCATGTAATTAAATGAAAAACTGAACAACARAGAAGTTGTTGAGTCAGAATCAATGAAATAAAGTGGATTAAATGTTTACCCTACATTCATATCCACAATACATGGACATGTAATTATATTAGAGGTTCAGCAGCTCAGTTTGGGAGGAGGGGATGTGAACATGTCCAGACCCTCTGTGAGGACAGGAGGAGCTGTGGTGCTCTCACCTGGGCTCAGAAAGAACGACCCGCCCTGCTCTGCTCTGATTGGTTAAAACTATGACTATGGCTTATGTTAGTTGTTGAAAGCAACATTAGTTTACCGTAATTCTGAGTTATCAACTGCAACTAATGTAAGATTTATTTTTATTATTATTTATTATTTATTTATTTTTTTACAGATGATGAAAATCAGTCGTGTGAATAGAAGAACTTCAATCCCCAAAAAACATTCAAGAACTTTCAAGGACAAGCGTAATTTTTGGCTGTTTTCACAAACTTTCCAGGGCCTTGAAATAATTTTTTTTCCAAATTCACAATTTCAAGGATTTCAAGGACCCGTGGGAACCCTGAATAATTTATTTACTGAACAGAGCACACTGCTGCCAGACTGCAGGTTTACTTGTGGTTTCTAGAGTTTCCAAAGGTAGAACGGGAGGCAGAGCCTTCAGTTATCAGGCTCCTTTTGTGGAACCAACTTCCAGTTTCTGTCTGAGGCTGACACCAAATGCTTTAGAACCAGGCTAAAAACTTTCCATTTTGATAAATCCTATAGTTAGTGTTGGCTTGGGTTTCCTGAGGTATCCCTAAGTTAGTAATGCTGCTAGAACCAAAGACTGCTGGAGTGCAAATGGACCACTGCTCTCTCCATAGTTGGATTTGTTGACATTTTGTGCCCAAAACGGCGAGCCGGGTCCTCTGAAGGACCCAGCCTACCCAGTCGAGGTGGGCCGGGGCCCTCGGTAGACCGAGAAGACTCAAAAAAAAAAAAAAAAAAAAAAGTGGCCGCTAATTTGGATGGTCTAGTCTCCCGTCCTTACCCCGGCATACGTGCTGTCACCTTGCAACCGTGACGACGCTAAAGACGCTAAACAGAAGCAAACTTAGATCAAAATTAGAAAAATATAAATATATTAGTGTTATTAATATCACAAAACAATAAAATTAACTTAAAAAAGGTAATATTTGAAGAACTAATGGACCTGCCGTAGGTGCATGTTTATTTTGTTTTTTTCCTGACAAAAATAATTTTAAACACACGTCTATACAAATTATACAAGTATTAAAATTACAACCGCTTGAAATTTTTAATTTTTATTTCGCTACATTTATTTAAATCATATTCTTTTCTCTCGCTTTGTCCACCATTACTAGCATAAAAAAATCTCTGGTTGGGCTGCATCGCATTATGGGATATGCTGGGCTGGGAAGGACCCATCAGACAAGTCCTTTGATTTGGGCCAAAGGAAGGACACATTTGTCGACCACATCGGAGGAGTCTTCGGTTTTGAATGGCCTCCTTCGCGGTGCTGTGACGTATGCGGAGGACCCGCCCCAGCGTTCTGGACACAGCCTCTGTGTTTATAGAAGCTACACTTGGACCACTTGCTGTATCACAGCTGAACCCATCTTTTTGCCCATCCTGAGCCTGGTTCTAATGGAGGTTTCTTCTTGGTAAAGGGGAATGGTATGATGCATTTTCCAGACACTTAGTTCAATCAAATAACTATATTACCTTCAGTTGTTATGAAAATGTTGTATATATTAAATAAAAAAAAAAAAATCACCATAGCATATCTAAACGTGAAATTGGCCGTTTGGGGCAGGAGCTTAGCTGCTGACTGAGCTCCAAGGAGGAGCTAGGTACAAAAAAGGCTGTGCTTTGTATCAGCAAGCATTTAGGCAGCTTCACGTGGTTACCACAGGAGATCCAAGGACTTCTCAAACATGCAGGAATGAGTCAGAGCAACACTCCGGGAATGTTTTTGATGTGGGAATGACATAAGATCAAGCTCAAGAGTCACTTTTGCATACTTTAAATCGGATTAAATTTGACCTATTTATTTTGTCTAATGCTAAAAGATGACTTTTGTTGCTTTGGCGTTGTATAGCTAAAACCGGTTATGACAAAGCACGAGACAATGGCTCAAGTTTGAACTCTTATCTTCTTGGTGTTAACAATTGACTGACCTAAATTCAAAGGCTGGGAGCAGAGGTGCACTTCATTTAGTCACACTAACCTACTTTCCTTTGCCAAGAAACAACACTTTAAAATGATTAAAAAGTCCTCCCCCCACACACAGACACACCTGTAGATGGTTTCCTTCTTGAAGTGATCCTGCTCCGAGGTACACGGCACTTTCTCTAAAAGACAAATGAGGTGCAGGATGATTGACAGGGCCTTGCTGAGCTGAGCGGGGTCAGGAGGCATGGGTCCACTTTGTTTCACGGCTCGCTCAATCTCCAGGACGCTCTTGGACAATATCCCCATCAAGTCCTCAAAGGACACGGACGTCCCCAGGAGCCCCTTAGCCCTGTCCTGCAGCATGAAGGAGAAGAGCTCGGCGAACGACAGCAGGCTGGACGTAGTCATGGGGCTGAGGGGTTCCAGGTTGATTTGTTGCATTTCCAGCGCGTACTTCCAAAGGTTGATGCAGCGCTCGAAGTTGCCGGAGTCGGCGTAGACGGCGCCGCGGTAACGGATGTAGTAGGACGTGTCTGGGTGTTGTGGGCCAAGGATTCTTTCGCGGATGAGTAAAGCCTGCATGCGCATCTCATCAGGGTCCGATATCAGCCCGTCCAGCTCCTCTCCATTTGTCACCTGAGTAAAATTAGAAAAAAAAATGTACAAATCAGTCTCTTTTTTTTTTGCAATACGGCTAAGATTGCACTTCTGTTTGTTCTGTTTACTAGCTCTGAAGAACTGCAAAATTACTTTTTGTACACAATATGAAGGCACCTTTCTGGGTGCTGACTTCAGCACATTAAAGCCTGCTTTAAGAGCAATAAATGCATTACAAAAACTGGGTACTGGGTGAAAAGATTAAGGTTAATAAGATTAAAAACTGATTTTTTTTTTGTTATATGAAATTCTTGGGGGAAAAAGGGGCAGATAAGATTTTTTTCTTCTCTCTGCTGC